TATTTGTACAAGGTTCTTTGTCATACACATAGTTATGACAGTTAATGAAGCCAATAAACCGTTCATGAACTTTATTTTCTTTGTCAATATTTCTTAAACTTAAGCTCATTTGAGAAATGTGTGATATATCTGTCGTTTCATCAAATATTRTTGAAAAATATTGGCTTTCTCTAATATTTTCCATAATTTGAAATAAAATTTCTTCTTTGCAGCACTGTATAATTTCTTCCTGTGATGTGTGTGAGATGTATGTTGCCTTTGCACTAGTTGTTTCCAAATGATTCTTCAAAACAGTATCTCCTGATAGTATTCGAAACCTTAATAGCTCACGGAAATTGCCTTCATTTACTACGGATAAACTATTTTCAGTATGCTCATTACCYATCAAGCTGCCTTGGTCACGATGGCCACGTAAAGGTAWGTTTTGACGTCCAAGAAAAATCACTGATTCAACAATCGGTTTTAATCTGGCTCGATTTTCAATAACCTGGTTCAATCTAGTGTTATTAATTACATTAATAATTTCTTTTGCCGGATTTTTGTAGCAAGTTAAAAAATCATTGGCTGTTTGTGTTGCACTTTAAGTTACCCACCCGCGATTACGATTAAACCTGCACTTGTTGTTCACCGTAAGTATAGTTCATGTAGACCATAGTTTGTATTATACATTTATTAACATATCAGTGACTATACAGTATACCCTAACCCACTCATCTCGAGAACACACGCAGTTGCAATACTAGCTACTTGTAAACCTATCTATAGGCGAAATTGGCGATCATAGACTAGAAAATATATAACTACAATACCAAGTCAAYATTATAGATTAATAGCACACAGCATTAACAGCGAATACAAATAATGAGAGTTGTCTCTGGTTAGGTTAGGCGAGACACATTCAGTGCTTGGAATGGTCAATGGACGTCCTGGTTCAAAAAAGTCTGTTTTAGCATTCCACGCTGTCGTCAGCAAGGATTAAATGTTATACAAAAAAAWTGCGATGTTTTATTTTATTTTCAATGCATAGAATGTATTTGATATACCTATCTAAGTGTATATAGCCATTACAGCTTTACATTTTTAGAGCATATTATTAGTTTATAAAATGCTTGATGGGCGCCCGGGAATTGGGCCACTAAAACTTTATATTTATTACAGGTAGGCCCGGTAATTGGGCGACTAAAATTTTATATTTATAATAGGAAGACCCGGTGATTGGGCCACTATTACATTTTAAATTGTAATAAAATAATATTTAAAAGGATGTCAGCGCACTATTTTTCTCTCTGGTCCACGCGCAACATAGACAAAACGCATTTGCGGAAAATCATTTTTCTATGAATTTACAACACTATTTTGTTTATTTTAAAAGTCAAATAACAATAAAATATAAAATCGATATGTCATTCCCTCAAAAATATTATTATCTATCTTTTTTGTAATGGATGATTTTACTCTACGATTACTAAAAAATATAGAAGAAATGATTCTACGTAAATGCGTTTTGTGTGTGTDACGCGTGGGCCAGAGAGCCTTTGTATTATATTTTTATGTACCTATTAGAAAATTATTTTTTCATATTATTTATTTTTTGACTAACTTTATGGTCCTTATATTATATTTGTAAAATGAGTATTGGCATTCTTTATAAAAATTATTTCATATTTGACTAATTTTATAGACCTTGTTGTACCTATATTATATTAGTTAAATCTGTATGGAAGTATATAAAAAAAGTATTAATTTTTTGACGAATTGTATTTTTATATGTTAAAACAATAATAATTAGTTAATAGTTAATAAACATTATATATTCGTATTAATAGTATATTTGTGTGCTATACTTGTATGGCCCTGCAATCTCCTGCAGGTACACTTTAAAAATATAGATTTAATTTGTGGCCCAATCTCCGGGTAGTAAAATGTAAACAAATATTTAATAAGAAACAGGTAGTTAAAATGTGGCCCAATTACCGGGCGCCCAAATGCTTRTGTGCATACATATTTTTAGGTTTTTGAGTAGTTACTAAAAATCCTCAGCTCCAGTTATGACCAATCGCATGGAGAGACCCCTGTCTTTCATGATTCCTCGAAGTAAATATTTTTAGTGACTAATCATATCAAATATATATATATATATATATATTTGGTGGGGAGGGTAGCCCTACCTAGTTGCAGTTATACTTGATATTTTCATTATTATCCATTATACTATACTAGCGACTATATGTATATATATATTGTATGATTTATTATACTTGGTGATGAATATAATATTTTTAGGGATCATTTAAGTGAATAGGTAATTTTTTGGTAGGGTATACATTTTTATTTTATACTTAACTGTCTCAATTGAAATATTGAATGAGAAATTCAGTAATATGTTTTGTTTTTAATTCAGTGTGATGAAGCAGCATTAAGCAATAGAAAATACTTATACTCTACACTGATTGAGCAATTAGTTCAATGGTAGCAACAAGCAGCTACAATGACTATTTACGGGGAGAGGGGAGAGCCTTCTTGATCTCTTATTTGTTACTTATTTATAATATTGTGATGCCKATGGTAAGTGAACCACCCTTTTCCTCTCAGGGAATTAAATATTTGCTAAATTATATCACTCCTCCCCTTGACAAAATCCTAAATATGCCACTGAAAACGTATGCTGTATTTTTGTGCGTAATAAGGTAAATGGCTATATTCCTAATATAATATAGATATTATGCTATGAGCATTGAGCATGGGTATTTTATTGTTTTTAATCACTCAAAGTTATGAGTTACACGGTTAAGTAATATTAGGATACAAATATGCCACCTGTTGGCTGTTACATTAACATCAATTGATAATCCTGTAAAATAATATAAATTTATATTTATTTTGTAACAGGCAGCAGGCACGTACACAGGGGGGTGTTTTGGGTGTTCACCCCCTCCTCCCCGAAATATTTGGTTTTTGTATGGTTATTTACTTATTCTATTTTAATGTTTATTGTTATATTATACTTTAATAGACAGATATATAACATTACATTGTGTTAAAACCAGCTAAAGCAGAATTAAAATGTAATACTGACAAATTAAAGTAATTTATATAATATAGAAGTTAATTGTAAAAATATTCTTAACATGGTGGCTAAAAGTTTACGAAAATTAAATTTTTTTATATTGAATTTTTTTCAATCCATGTTTATATTTTAAAAAAGTATTATACCTACCTAATTTTCGCGGAAAAAATCGTATGTTTATTAAAAAAAGTTCTACTTTTCAATAAAGAATTTTCAAAAACACCCCCCAAAACTTTTTTCTGCGTACGTTTCTGATATAGGAAGGTTTTAATTGTATGTGTGAGTAGATCCGTTGGGGGTAGATTATATACTTGCCTTTACGGCATTATGTATATATAATGTTCGTGACGTCACTAATTAGTAATTATACACTTACCAGCAGCGTGGCCTGAGGCGACAACATGGATCCGATCCGACCGAGCATGGAGCACATGGACATCATGGTGGCCCGCATCCTGGTGGGGAATATCTCCGCGGTCAGCATGTAAATGATGCAAAACGCGATGGATATCGCCAGTTTACTGACCAAAAACAGCGACAGCTTTATCAAGTATAATTCTGTTTTTAGAGAAAAAAGCAACATGATAATATTATATTAGTCATCAGTTATAACTTATTATTACTTAAAGTATCAGTGATAATTGTATACTCGGTGCAGGTACGTGTCAATAGTATTACTAATAAGCGTTACTTGACTTTTAAATTAAATAGTAGAGTTACTCTGAATTAGGATGACACATACAAGATACAAAATTAGCGTTCCTACCTAATTAACAGGTTTGGGGATTTTCCAAAGCTATATAATATATATATATATACATATTTGAATATACCTTCAAACATATCTCCACGAATCAACAAATATTTTATAATTTAGTTATACTTACTTTCAAAACCATAATCATAATCTCAATATATAGTTAAATGTTATATTTTATTTATTTATGTAAAGAAACATTTTTTTACGACGTTTTATATTCACCCAAATGTATTGTAAAGACGTGTTTTAGATGTAAAATNNAAATCAACGATTAATATCGCTAATTGTGCTATTTTTCCTGTCTAATTGGATTTTAATAACTGCGTAATCACTTAATAAACATTCCTTGACAAAGTGTTTTAAAAATTGAAAACCAAACGGATAAACTCATAACTAATGTCTAATATTAACTATATACAATATGCATGTCTAAAATTTGATTTGTATTTGAATTATACTCCCAATAATATTCTGTTTTGACCTTTGGAATATGAAAATAAAAATATATCTAACTATGTTATTATTCAAGATTAAGAGTATACACAACTTGAAAAATAATAACGATTAAAAATGGTAAAAATATACAATTTTTACCAAAAATGTAGTTTTTTTTTTTTATTAGGGTTAAGGCTTCGACAACTGAGGTCATTAGCCTGGGGGAAATGTGGGGGAAGGTACTGTAGGTTGAAATGTAGTTTTGTAACAACTTGAGATCATCTAAAAGAAATAAAAATGTGTCACTCTGTATTGTTTATACTGTATTGTATACACCACACATCATTGGACGTCTGTAGTTATATGTGCGAAAACTTGTATTCTAATACAACACTCATTAATAACAATATTATTACTTCATTAGTCATTACTCACCACTGGGCATCAAGTTGTACATGACGCAAGTGACGCCACTGAACACAAACATGCAACAGAGTGACATTTTTCTCGACATGCCTTCCATTATCAACCAGTTCAACAGACAAGCAGGGATCTCGACGAACAACACTAACGAAAAGTTCAGATACTTGTCTCCGGCGATGTCCGTCGAGCTTATCGTCAGTCCGTAGTATACCAGAGTCACCGCTATCCTGGCAGGGTAAAAACACACAATTTTCAGTAAGTAAAACTGCACACGTCAATAGTACATTGAAATTATATAGAACACGGGCAATTCACCAACCATGCTCACCCACATTTCCCATTTTACGCTTGAATGATAATTATAAAAATAATAATTTTGCCATTCAAAAGAGTGAACAACTTAAACAACTATTATATTAGGCGTTATCTACATTTATATTTATAATTAAAAATTAGGGTTAATAGTTGTGATCATTGCGCGATGGGACGCATTTGAGGACGTGTGTGGGTTCACCATGCGGCGAATTATTTGTTGTAATTTCGAATTGTTTTATCAAATAAACGAGACCAAGCTGCGGTGAAGTATTGAGCTAGACGCTAGTCGCTAGTCGCCGTTCCCCGCAGTTTGGTACCAAAAAAAAGGTGTTATCTGAAATAAAGAGTGTCTCACGTTAAATTGATCACCCCGAACAATATAATGAATGTTTATTTAGTTTGTTTTTTGAAGATTAATATTGTTCCACAGTGGTAGGTAATAACATATAGGTTTGTTATCAGTTTATCAAGTATGGTTCACGGTCAGATTATATTTTGTTGTATAAAAGTATATGACGTATATAATGTTAGCAGTTATGTTTGCAATTGTACTCCGTAGTAAGGAAGAGATCCAAGCATCATTTCTACAAAAACAAGTAGTTCCTCCAGAAATTTGTTCTTTTTGGAACAAGTCCTTCTTTCTCAACACTACCAATACATATTATAAAATATTATACTCATTAAACGTAATATTGAAAATTATTGATTGAAAAATGTATTCCATCGATAAATTCACGAATATTTTTGGACCGAAAATATAGTGACGGAAAAAAGTTTGATTTTTTCGTAAATTATAACTGCAGGAGAAGCTGTAACATTTAAATCTTGTTTTTTTTTTTTTTTTATAAATCAAAATGTAAAATAATAAAAATGTCAAACTTCATATGTTTACGTGGTTCTTTGCAGCACAGTGAAAAAGATCTTGATGTTTGTGAAAAATACCTACAAGGCTACAACCAACTACTGATATAAGGCGAATATTACTCTTAATTGTTTGGTTACATGAATGTAATGTAGTATATTGCTAAGTAGTTACGTCTGCTCGTACATGTCATGACAGACAAAACTGTAAATAACGATCTTACCACACGTACGAACACCTAATCATTCTCCAGAATATTGTCGAAGAGCGGATTATGTCTTTAATTATACCGCTGAAATTTGCGTCGTTATCTTCCAAACTTTCCGAGCTCTGTGAAAGTATAAAAATAATATTGGTAATGCATATATGCGTTCGATTCATTTGGTATTTAATAAAAATTGAATTTCATTAACTGTACAGCTAGACGGCGTATATACACGTTTAGACGAGTGTAACGTTATATTCGTTATAATAAAAAGGTTAATTTATTTAATTTAAAATAACGTCACCTTTACTTGAGTGTTTGTAGGCAGGTCAGGAAAAGGCTTTTTATTGGCAGCCGCTATTTTCTTGAGCGTGTGAATCACTTTGTCGTGTTTACCTTGACTTTCCAACCACCTCATCGATTCTTCTGTTAGCCTGTGTAAAAATAAAAATATACATATACATATATATATATATATATATATATATATATCGTTTTAGTCGTTGCTCCGTTGCTTAGAAATTAAATAGTTCAAAGATAATAACCAAAAGTATGACAAGAAAAGCAATCCCGGGATGTTGACTAGTCGCAACAAAAGTCTCCAGTCTTGCACTATGCTGGCGATATAAGCTGTTAAAATAGAGCCAACCGGGAGGAAACATTCTAGAATCGAATAATAGAGTACCCGCTGGTGTGGCAAAAACAGCTCCATTGCTATATAATCAAAGAAACAATCCATTTTAGTTCACACGTCACATGTCATATTTATGTATATTCAGACATTCAGTACATTATAATATGCCGTAGAACTGCATGCTGGACATTTTAAAAGTATAATAGATTATTTATACAATCCATGATAAATGATAACATCATATTGTGCATTTTATCGGTTAACCACATTTTTGAAATTTGAACTTCTGACGATTTACATACCTAATATAAAAGTAACCGTGTAAATTCCACTGGAAACGACCGAAGACAAAAATTCAAATCCAATGAACATCAAATAACTGTTTGAAAACGACTGGATGATACTTAATGTGGCCGATATAGCTGCACAAAACACCATGGTGAATTTTCGGCCGAACCTACAAAAATTCGTAAGTATTTGAACATTTTTAACCATAATATTATATTATTTATCCGAGGAATACAATATAGCGGAGTTCCTTTTACCACACAAGGCGATTATTTAAAAGATAAACATAAAACACATTCATTGCCTTAATAAGCAGTGCTAGGGTTTTTGGAAATACTTATTTTTTTATAATTTTAAGTCAAAAAAAAATAATATTTTTTGCTATTTTAATCGTTCTAGTTTTTTAAGTTTTTACTTTTTTGTATAACAGCTAACATACATTATTAATTTCTTATCATTGTAAGATTAAATATGAGAATTTTAATACAAAAAAATCGGATGAATATATAGTTAATTCATTAATTGATGAAATAACATTGCTTAGAGGTTAGATAAGTGACAAACTTTTCACCCTTTTCAACCCTCATAAAGTCATAAAACACTTATCATTTTAAAGTTATACTAATTATTCAACTTGTAAATATGAAATTAAAAAAAAATGTATGCTGTTATTTATGTAGGTAAAAACCTAAACTGTAGTTACGGTAAAATAGAATGAAAATATAATGTTCTTTCAAAAATATTGTTTTTTAATGACTTAAAATAATGTACAAATGTAGGCATACATTTTTCCAAAAAAATAGACATCTTTTATGGAGAAAATTAGTGTTTGCTTTTAGAACAGTATCAGTAATCTTTTGTATATAAATATAATAAATAAGGTACATCATTTTACTTTAGATTTTTAATGTTATGTAACGTAAAAGAATATCATAAAAAAAAAACACCTTGTTTTATTACGTCATATTATAGATAAAAATGTCTCATCTACGTTCGAGTCATTTCTTAACGTTTGTTCGTATAAGTGTGCAACCTTCGGTGCCTGTTTCTTAGGAAAACGTGTTTTTCGGTTAAAACTATCCGCACGGTTCCTAAAGATTATAACTAAAATTACTTAATTAAAGCACCAGGACTGATTAAACACGTGCTGACAGTGCAATCGAAAAAACGCGACGTTACCCCGTACATCTTATACTACGATTAGATGATAAGTGTATGATGTAGGTACACGTTAACGTTTATCTATAATGTCTTGTACGCGCAAGTTTTCACTTATATGCGTAAAAATAGGTTCATATATTATTATAGTGTAATTTGCCGAGTGAGTCGCCATGTTTTACCTCATTTTTACCCGACGTGTAGGTATAATAAGGATATCTACTATAATATTATGTTTGATGCAAGCTTAAGGTTCTCAACAAATCTTAATTATTGTAGTTAAAAAAAAACTTTACTATTAAATGAATATTTTATAATAAATAGATTAAAGTGCGTTTAGCATTTCTTGGAATACGGAACCCCTCCTCTCCGCTCGCAGACCTAAAACCATTCCTTGCAAGTATATACCTACAACTGTGCGGTGCATGATATCTACGGAGAATGGAGATAATGTATTAGTGCATTTTTATACTGAAAATAATGTTTTAAATAATTTAAGTGACAGAAGTTACGTCAATAACATAAAAGCAAATTTTTTTTATGTCTTGTAGACGTGCAAAAACTAAGATAGATGATATTTCAAAGATTTATTAGTTGCACTCACCTGTCGGCGACGATCCCTGACACTGGTATTCCGATAAATTGACCGAAGTTATTGACCGTTCCTACCATTGACAGCTTCCATTTGTTATCCTCGCACATGAGTCCAAACTAATTAATAATAATATACTTATATTAATAATCGGTTCAATGTGGTTTTTATGAGAATATAAAAATTATAAACACTAATTTAAAAATTGTATTGTATGTACCTAGCTATTCGTATTTATTAAAGAACTTGGTAAAATTTTAAGATTTAAACTTATATAATAATAATACGTATATTTTGAAAATAAATTAATAATGTTTTCATCGATATTTTCAGAAAAAGTATTCTGTTTCAAAATAAATTACAAAAGTTAATACTAAATCAAACAACTAATACTCGTATTGTATAATGTAAACTATTATAGAATAAAGTTTAAGTTTTAGCGTAAATTTGATGTTATCTATAAAACAATATAATGAAACTTTTTTGTTTTCCCGATTTCTATTAAAAAAATGTATATTCTTAATATAATAATATTATTTCTTAGAATGTGCTTTTATGTACAGTTTTTAGCGTAACATACAATTTCATTGTATCGCATGATATTATTAGTTTTTCGAAATATTGTAATAACTAAAAAGTTCCATCCGGAAAACGAATTTATTATCGCGGTCACGCGTGCAGCGGTTTACTATATTATAATAACGGTACGATGGAAACATTTATGAACTCACTTCCTTGCCGATGGTGTTTTCGAAGTCTTCGAACACCCAATTGCCATCGCTGCACACTTCGGTCGAGTTATAGTTGAATCTATCGGATGAACACTGCGTACCATTTATAAGCGGGCCAGACAATGCAGCATACCGCAGACACTTGCGAGGCTGATTTGTGTCGTTTCTGTAAGGCGTCGTGAACCGCAACCATTCGGGCTCGTAGGTACGTCCTTCCGGGTTCGGCGAGTCGCATTCCGGTATTTCGCACCTACGCACAGTGACAATAACAATATTATTGGATGACCGTTAACTTTTTTATTCCCATAGACACGAACCCATTGGAAAACTGTGAATTCGTTAAAACGTATATTTTGATTTACTACGGGTTGAATTAATAGAATGGACGAGATGGTTAATTGTCCTCGTGTATACACACGCAGGGACATGGGCGTGCGCACGAGGGGGGAAGGGTGGGCAGGTGCCCCTCCTGCGGGCTAATTTTTTCTCCTAAATATAGCTTTAAAATAAAACAAGA